TTTTTGAGTGGCTGGTGTAGGCCCAGGTATAGCCAGACAGAGACCCTGCAACAGATTGTGTGCACACCAACATCAAGCCTCTCAGCCCTCGGAGCAGGCTGCTGGTTATGTGATGATTGGATGGAGATGATGGAGGATGCAGCGTCGTCGGTCTTTTAAGACGTTCATAGAGGTTTACATTTGGTGCATTTAAAAAAAAACAACAATCAAACAATTTTCTTATTACTAGTGATGAAGTGTCTATCACTGGTACATAGCGCTATTGTATTATCTCCAAGGCAAATGTGATTCTACACTGTGAATTCTTTTCCTAGGGGTCAGACTGTCAAGGTGAAGTTCTACTGTAACGTTCTGAGGGCTCTAAGGGAGAACGTTCAGTGCACATTACCTGAAGTCGGGTACGGTGACATGTGGATGCTCCAGCTGTGTTGTGTTTATCTCACATCGTGATGGTTACATACAGGTTTTTTGGCCACAACAACACTATCATCGCTCCCCGCCTGCCCTGCTCAATAGATGAGGCTTCCTGCAACTTCTTTCTCTTCCTCAAAATAAAATGTAAGTTGAAGGGTCGCTGTTTGACACAGTTTAGAAGGTTCTTAGCATATTACAGAGAGTGCTCGACATGTTTATTCCCAGGGAGATCTCCAAGTGTTGCAGAGGTGCTGGTACCACTGTATCACTGCACAAGGAGACTACTTCAACAGGGATGGTGGCCAAAATTAAATTAAGGCATGATTTTTGATTTCATCAGACGTCATGTCAGAACTTTTTGATAACACCTTTTATGTTCTGAACGAGAATCAATAGTTTACTGTTTTTTTTCAGAAGTAATTGATTTCACAAAATGTCATGGTGAAAAGTGATGGAGTGAGTGCTCCTAATGAGATCACATTGCCTGCACTAATGTTTGCAGAACGGCATTGCAGTGTATGAAAAAGAAAGCTCTTTGTCTGCAAAGCTTCTCCCAGTAGTAGTTACATGTGAATCAAACAGTGAGTCAGGGACTAATTTTAGCCACTTCTCTACGAGCAACTATGAAAGTCGTTGTTATGAAGTGACTGTTGTCATGTCAGCGACACTTAGAGCAGAGAATTGAGGTCCTCTTATAGCAGCAAAGACTATTTAGTTTCATTCAGGCACCAATGTGAGATTCAGGGAGTGAGTTAAATTACCCTCAGCACAATACAGAGCAAACACATCACTACGATATGTGATACACAGCGTGGACAAGGGAAACGATCCTGTCGCCGTGTGTAGTAATGGGAAACTTGAAGAGGAGGAGGCAGGGTGGATGGAGAAATCAATTAAAGGAGACAGCGACATTATGAGCGAGAGTGGGAGATTTAAAAAGCCATTACATGCTTTTCATGAGTGTAACTGATCATAAGAAAGTCAGCTGATGTCTGTGGACTATTTGAAATAAGTGTATTATATTCAGTTTCCATTAAGAGGCCTAAAACTCTGTATGTAGTAGACAATGATGGATCTTAGAGCTGTGTCCCAGGGGATTCATGTTATTTGTTTCTCTTGAACTATAACACACTCCAGTACACACAAAGTCTTTATTGATTTATTTATTGGTAAAGTAGATGGTAATATGGTGTGTATATCGTAGATGTACATCTTGGTTAAGAGAGGGAAACATTAACAACTAGGAACAGAATTGACACTTTGACAATTCTGTATGCTGTCAATGTAAAAAAAGAGGATGCTATTTCTATTTATTTGTTCTATTATGTAACATTATGTTACTACTACTGTAGACCTATGGCTGGTTAACTAACATAGGAAGAAGAATAAAATAAAATGCCAAAATGCTTTACCCTCTAATCCAGGGGTATTCAATTAAAAGTCACTGAGGTCAAGTTTTTAAAATTTCCTCCAAGTAAAAGGTCTAAACCGAAGTCCAGTTTGTGTCTTATAGCCTTCCCCTATGGCCACATTTTCATGGTTCTAACAATAGCTATTGTCAATTTTCAGTGCAGGGTGTGTTTAACTGAGTGCACAGTTAGATCTTTTACATACACACGTGGACAAAATTGTTGGTACCCCTCGGTTAATGAAAGAAAAACCCACAATGGTCACAGAAATAACTTGAATCTGACAAAAGTAATAATACATAAAAATTCTATGAAAACAAGCAATGAAAATCAGACATTGCTTTTGAACCGTGGTTCAACAGAATTATTTAAAAAAAAACAAAAAAAAAGTCATGAAACAGGCCTGGACAAAAATGATGGTTCCCATAGAAAAAAAAATAAAATGAAGCATATCAAGAAAAGACCCTGTCCCTGCTGTGAAACATGGAGGAGGCTCTGTTATGTTCAGGGGCTGCTTTGCTGCATCTGGCACAGGGTGTCTTCACTCTGTGCAGGGTACAATGAAATCTCAAGACTATCAAGGTATTCTAGAGAGAAATGTGCTGCCCAGTGTCAGAAAGCTTGGTCTCAGTCGCAGGTCATGGGTCTTGCAACACGATAATGACCCAAAACACAAAGCTAAAAACACCCAAAAATGGCTCAGAGGACAACACTGGACTATTCTGAAGTGGCCTTCTATGAGCCCTGATCTAAATCCTATTGAACATCTGCGGAAGGAGCTGAAACATGGCGTCTGGAGAAGGCACCCTTCAAACCTGAGACAACTGGAGCAGTCTGCTCATGAGGAGTGGACCAAAGTACCTGCTGAGAGGCGCACAAGTCTCATTGACGGTTACAGAAATCGTTTGATTACATGATTGCCTAAAAAGGTTGTGCAACAAAATATTAAGTTAAGGCTACCATCATTTTTGTTCAGGCCTGTTTCATGAGTTTATTTTTTTTAAATAATTCTGTTGAACCACGGCTCAAAAGCAATGTCTGATTATCATTGGTTATTTTCATAGAATTTTTATTTATTATTATTTTTGTCAGGTTCAAGTTACTTCTGTGACCGTTGTGGGTTTCAGGGACTTCAGGGGATAGCTTTGCTCAAAAGAGCTGTATTTTTAATTAATGCCACGTTTTCAGAGCATATGAGGGACACTGGTTGTGAACTGCCTGACGGAAGATTGAACATACATTTCTTTGTCCACTCATCTTCAAAGCAGGGGTTTTCCTCATCAACCTTCCTTCTTTTGGTGCAAGCCATGCTGTCATCACTGTCCCTTCCTCTCTGCTCTGCTGTGTAGGCAAGTGCAAAGTGACAACAGCAGCAGCGAGCTGTGGTGGTGCACTGGCCGTGCAGGGTAACCAAACGACTTGATTGGCTCAACTGAGTGGAGCTATTACCGTATTAACTGGAGTAGCAGCGCCCGCTGTCTATAGCCGCGACCGTCGTAAAAAATGCTCCATGAAAATCTATTCTCGAGAATTTATCAGAGATTGCTCACGGTCCGGACAGAACCATCACTTGGTCGGGATCTGGACCGAGGTCCACATTTGGTGATACCTGCTCTAAACCATAAGCAGTTTCTGGGTGTTTACTCACATATTTACTCACTGTGAGCTTATTTTTCACTGCAATATAAAGTCCTACGCTTTCATGGGAACAGCACAGCATGACATAAAAAGAGCTTGAAAATGTCTTTTGTGCTGTATAACAAAGTGAAAAAAATAGGTAATTAAATTTCTATGACCACTTAATTTACAAGATTTAAAAAAAAAAAAAAAAGTGGAATCAACATGTACAGCATTTTTCCAAGTGCCCACAGGTACTGTGAGGAAAAAATTGTGGCTCTACATATGTAGATATTTTATTTCTTAGATTTTTACAATTTTTCCGTACTTCCTCCACAGCCTGCAGTTCAGCCCAATTTACACAAAAAAAATTAAATAAATTCTCACAGCTGAGTCACTGACAGCTTCAAGGCTACACTGAGAAGTCTAGATTTTCTTTTTGTTTTTTGTCTTTTTACAGAATCTGGTTAAAGCAAGCAGTTTCTTTTTTGTAAATGTTTAAATGAGACATGTAGAATAATGTGTTTTTGATGAAGTTCCAGGATTCTAAGCTTAGATTTGGTTAAGTTTCCCAACATATCCGTATGTCATAAACAAGCAGTTCAAAGACCATTTGGAAATTGAAAATCTGTCAATTCTTAATGTTTTTGCAGTTTTTGGACACGATAAATGGCATCATTTTGGAGATTTTTTTTTACAGACAACATCCCGTAAAAACCTGCCGTTGGGTTTTTGGTTTTTAAAAACTGTTGTTTTCTCCACTTATCGAACTGCATTTAGCTTTTATTCTCACTATGAAACTTCTCCTACTGGAGATACAGGATGTGGCAGGTAAACACTTACATTTTATTGATATTTTGATGCTAACATTTATTTAGGCTTGCCAGGAATATTTCTTCGTAGCAAGAAAGATGTAACAAACACAATTCCAGAATATACTTAAAGCTACTGTAATTAGACACCTACCACCTTTCATAACCTACAAACACCAAACCCCTTGCACCTAGCAGATAACAGAAATCATCTGAAGATTGCTAGCATGCTAAAGCTAACAAAGACTTAAATGAAAGATACTAAATACTGAGGGTCTTTCCTTATTGCTGTTATCTAGTATTTTAAAATGATATGCTCACAAAGTGGGATCAGTGTTTCACCTGTCATGACATATTATTTGTTTCAGCTTTTATTTATGAATGAGATTGATAGACTTGAATGTTACACAAAAGTAAGGGTGAGGGCTTAGTTTTGTGATTGAAGTTTTGTGATGACAACCAATATACGCGTTTGTAAATTTTCTCAATAACGTTTTCTATTTTTCCTTTATAGGATGTTTTAGGAAACCAGACTAACACGAAAGAATATGAATATGACTGTTACATTGACAATACAGTGACAGACTCACATGAGATTGGTAATATGATTCTAGGCATTTTTCAGGTATTTAGCTGACATTTTAACTAGCAGCAGTATTAATTGTCATTTTATTACTTACACCTAATGTGACGGGTCAAAAATCCTGTTGCTAATCGAGTGTGAATGAGATGAGCTGCAGCACCTTACCAAAATACTCCTCAGATGGAGGGTTGTCCATGTCAAACAGCATCTTCTTGGTGAGGCGTTCCAGCTCATCTTCAGGGTGAGCCACGGGAGCACTGCCCTGAGAAAGCAGACAAAGAAACATTCAGCAGCTGTGATTCACAAAGCTCAGCAAGGAGATGAAAAACATTTTTGGCATTTTCTTGCATTCACTTTCACCTCCCTGATGAATATTACCTGTGGTCTACGCTGGTTCACATGAAAAGGAAAAGTGCAGCGAATGTATTCTTAACAAAATGTGTCCAACCTCAACTTAAAGCTTCAGAAAAACCTGACTTTAATAAATCAGGATGAAGAACCGTCTCAAGGTCAAACAAAACACATTCAGTGTAATTAACATGCAGTAGATGGTCTTCGTCTGCCTTTCTCCTCTGAGATATCTGACCCTGGCTCAGGCCCCGGTGGTGTGCAGCCCAGAAGGTTGTGCATTTCCTTCTGTGCAATACAAGTGTGTGCAAAAAACTGTGACCCTGACTAATCCTTGTGTTTGGAAAATGATGATAGCAGGAGGAAAAGAAGAGGCAGACATTAGAAGAAAGCTGCTTTTTAAGTCTCGTACATTTGGGTGATAGGTCGGGAGATAGTTATGTAGTCGTACTCTGAGCACAAAAGGACTTTAGGTGAGAGCTGTGCTGGGGCCTAATCTGTAAAAGATTCTGGAAAGGATGACATAACTCTCTGAAGATGCCACTTCCTTCCTTTTCCTTGTGAGCCTGCCCTCCTTCTTATCATGCAGTCGCTGACATCTGCCTGCTGTGTGTCTGTATGGGGCTGACGTGTTGTGCCTGACATTTTCTGCCAATCATCCTCAGAGTCTGAGAATCCCCCTCCCTCAACCCCGGGCTCCGGTTCATGGCACAATCCCGTCACAGGTGCGTGTGTCCTTTTCAGACACCCCGGAGGCCTGAACTTGACTCTTTTCGTGCTGAGAGGCCGAGCTTTTTTATTTTTTTTCCAGAAACCGGTGACACTTGGATGGCCTTCCCTAGATCTGAGACCGGCTGAATCTTTACAGTAGATTTGATTTTCAATATCGCAACACGGGTCGAGATCTGAGCTGACCTTTGAGGTGTTCCTAATTGTTACACCTGGGAGCGGGGTGAATGCTAGCCCAGGGTCTGGTTTTGTGTTAATTTATTCGCGGTTTACTGTGTCACATAAAGGAATCAGATTCGTCAATAGGAGATTTAGTGAAAAAAACATTTTTGTATTCAGAATGAAAGAGTAATTACAGAGCCTGTCGCACAACACTTCTGCTACTATTGATTCAATTTGTATGCATTTAACCCTCAGATGAATCCAGGGCTATTTTGCACCTTGCGTAATTGATTCTTTTTTTTTTTCAATTCAGCACTCAAGTCTCCGATATTTCTACCTATCCCTGAACTATTTGTCTTCAACAGTGTTTGTGTGTCAAAACATCAAAAAGGATAAAAGAATTTTTTAACGAATTATCTAAAAAGCGCCTAGTGTTGATAGTGACCTGAGCTATGTATTAACCTCAGTTCTTTGAATAACAGTATGCTGAATGAAAATTGTGAAGTTAACTGTTGTGAATTCCAGTTTGCATTGGTGGAAAAAGTATTCTAAACCTTAACATACTACGAAAATACTACACTATAAGTAAAACACCTGTGTTCAAAACTTTATTTTAAGCAAATGTATATTATCAGCTAAATTTAGTATTTGAAGACTTCATTTTAAAAACAGATAACTCTATGTTTGTATGCTTGAATTTGTACTTCAGTAACTTGAGTAAATATTCTTTGTTATTCTGCACCACTGCCAGTTTGATCTCTTTGTGAAGTGTTTCAATGCTTTAACCCAAACGCCCTGACACAGAACTGAGTCTGCTTGGCTTATTTTCATAGTAACATGATGATGCAGCAACTGAGTTACAGATTTTGCACAGAGCAGCATTTTTCTTTGATTTTAGAGGGTTTTGATGAGAACATCTCCGCAAATAAAGATGCTAAGTAAGGCTGTTGATGGTGAAGAATTTGTTTTTGTGCCATTCATGAATCATTTAAAATCAGAACCCGAACATGAAAACTGTATGTCAATTCCGAGTGTAGCATACATCCGATCAGCAGTGTCAAGAAAAGTTCTCATGTATTTACCTCAGCTGCCTCAACCCTGCTGCTAGAAATTCACAGGAAGTTTTTTTAGGCCATTTTCCTGTTAGCTTTCAGGTGATTTGGCCGTGGCTGGAGACAAAAAATAAAAAATAAAAAACAGAGCTGGATGGATGCTCTAAAAGCCTCTCTGAGGATGGCTCATCTTGTCCATCTGTACTTGATTGCTGTTCTGACTAATCTGGGTTTGGTAGGTGTCACTCGATGACAGTTTGAGCGAGCTGTGTGCAAGATGAAACACTATAAAGTGTAATCAGTCTGCTTTGGGAAATATTTCACTGAGTTTCAACAAGTGCATTTTTATAATCTCTATAGCTGTGTGTCCATTTACGATCATGCAAATTTGAAGCAAATTTTTTTAAATTTCACAAAAAATACAGAAAATCTAAATTAGACTTGCTTTCTGCTTTGGAGCACTAAACCAAAAAGAAAGTGGTGGTATATCTATGTTACGCATGGCTTCAGAGTACAGGACTCCGGACACAAAAGCAGTTATTTTGACAGCCACTGAAAAAGCTTAATGAAATATATATCAGAAGAAACATCCACAACTTTGGCCATCTACAAGTGATGTAGAGAAGTCTGTCGCAATTGTTTTAAATCAGGTAGGTTGTAAATATTCTTTCATGTGAGCTGGTATCGGCCATGTTTCATGCTGTCGAAGACAAAAAAAAAAAAAAGAGGTGCTAACAATTCATCAGTCATGTCAGAAAGTGAAAGTCGCCTCAAGTGAGTGTAAAGACATGTTTTCAAAACAGAGGAAGATTGTTAAGTTTTTCTTTTTCCACTGATTTTTCTAATGTGACACTTCAAAACACGCATAAAAATGTGTTGTGGAAATATGACATATAAGTGATCAAAAATGTAATAAATGTTAAAAAAAACCAACATATTACCATATAAGTCCTACATGTATACTTTCCCAAGCAATATGGTTATAATATTTGCCTTCATCTGCCTTGTATCTAAGTTGTACTGTTTAAGAAGTTTGGACAAGTGTGGTAGAGAAATGAGCTGTGCCTTTAAAGGTTAAGTGTCATTCACTTGACTCACCGTATGCGTCTGTGAGACAAAGATACAAGGATATATGTAATTTAAACAATACAATAAAGGTAGTAAAGCAAATGTACAGCATATTTGAAATGAGTACAGTCAATGGTCTGCTGGGTTAATTTCCAGCGACAGTGAGAAATGCTGAGCTCTGCTTACTGTCCACAATGTATCAAGGAGCATCTAAATTTTATGATGCATGACTTTTGCTGGGCCCAGCTCAGGATGCAGCAGGCTGATAATGGAAGCCCAAACAGTAGGCCTCATTAACTCTGAGGGATCGACACGTCCGACGTGCAAATCTTTCTGCCATGCCGGTGTGCTCTCTAGAGAGCAGCTGGGCCTGAGCTCCTGGATGCTTTGGCACCTTGTGCCTCCTCAGTCGCTTGCCATCATCGGCCAGAATCACATGACGGAGGATTAGGAAGAGATGAAAGGGAACATTCCTCAGTGGTTGGGTATTCCCCTGTTGTCACCTTAAATCCCTTGCCTTTTTAAAAAAAAAAAAATACACAATGGTCAGAGGTGGTATGCGTGGAAGAGCTGAATTCTAATACAACAACCTGCACAAAAGAAAACAAAATAAATCTGCTCAATGTTCGTATACCTCAAAGAAGAGCTCTTGTTGTCAACCTTCTGCTCATTATGCCTGTGTTGTTAGTTTCAGACAGTGAAGTAGACGATTTAACACTGTTAATCTTAGCTCCACATCAAAAGCACATTGGAGAGGGAACGAAATGCTGCTATTACCAGAAACAGACTTTTGAGTTTAAGCTTCATTTATATCTTATCCACTCTGTGACACCCCGCAGCAATGCACTGCCAGAGAGTTTAAAGCACCTTGTTAGGGAGTCTTTTGTGACAGCACGGAATAATTTTTCACTTGAATAAGAGAAAGAAATTGCTTCCCTGCATGCTTTATGATTGCTTCGCAGTTCCTGTTCAGCTTTTTAGAGGCAACAATAGAAACCATACAGCAGCTATACGTGCTGCAGACATGATTTTTTCAGTTATGTCTGGCTCACTTCAGTAAATTGTTTGCCTACGCCCTCAGGACACTCAGCCACAGTTTCATTGAAGTTAGTACTTAAATTTAGTGGCGACTGGGTTAAAAGCTGCACCTATTTTCCACTGTTTTCCCACTATGAAGGGGCTTATAGGTTCAGGTCATCTGCCGCCTGCTTTTTTTTTTTTTCTTTTACTAGCTGTAATACCCCTGAAAGACATCCTGATGGACCATCAAGCGCCTTTCCACTTGACAAAAGATTTTTAGAGCGTTGTTAAATGCCAGACCACTTAAAATCAAAAACAACAATAAAATCAGCAAGTGACCACTGTTGCGTGCCACCTGATACAGCATGACAGACTCTGGGAGCTGATCACTGCCTGACTGCCACATCAACAAATAACGCTGTGTGTGCCACCCACTGTGGAATTGGCATTGTGTCAGAACTGATTAGGTGAGGAGTGGGGTGGGGTGGGTGGGGTGAGGGTTCGGCGGGCTCATGACATGCTCTCACCTGATGCCCTGACAGCATCGTGTCCCGCTACGAACCAAACCTCAGGCTCTGTCTTTCCTGCTTCCACTGCAGTGATAGAGAGTGAACGGGAGAGACAACTGTTCTCAGGGCATCGGATCTGCACCTTTGTTAGTGGAGGTGGAACAAAGGAGTGCAAGAGAACAGGAAGCTGCAGCTATTTACATATAATCACCTCCTTTGGTACAGAACAACGGGAATGTACAGATCTATAGGATAAAACGAGGCAGCGCACGTCAGCTCTGCCTGTCACATTAATGATGCAGCATGGCTAAAGGTATACATGTGTTATAATGGGAGGAGGATGCGAATACTCTACAGATCTAATCCTCCAGTTT